ATGAGTGATAGCCGTGTCTATCGTTGTTTTAATTAATTATTGAAAGTTACGAGACTAGAAGTGAATTCATGTGGTCTATTATGGCAGGTTTGATGTGATTCCTCAGTAATTTGGTTACGATTTGTGATTTGATACTCTACTGGGTGAGAGTTCAGTAAGTGTTGTGATTTTATTGGCAGAATTGAGTTAGTGGAAGATTTCAATTAGTATGATGTGTATTCGGCTTGTGATTCAGAGTTGAGGGTGAGACCCTCGTGATTTCATGTGATTCGATATGTTTGAGCGGCGCTGCGTGCCGCGGTGGAAAGTTATATCAGGATGAGATTCTTGTGATTTGTTCATATACTTTGATTTTTCCTTTTAAATTGATTCGTAGTATGGTACTGTTAGAGAGTTGTGCATGTCGGGCTTGTTTGATATTTCTCTTATGTGTTTCTCTTTACATATTCAGTCATTTTCGTTATGTGCTTCTTGAGTTTTAGCTTGCGGGGTGTGTGCCCGGTGGTGTCAGTTGTGACTTGTTGATCTGAGTGTATAGTTATGAGGTCTTCGTGTTCCTTACATCATTGTCAGCGTTGTGGAGGTTTGAAATGGGTTGCTAACGGATATGAGACTAATTGTCGGTGCTGGTTTTGCTTACGGGCAGCTATTGTGATTAGAAATGTTATTATGGGCCTATGGGTGGTGTGTCATGATTATGGTCGTACCTTGTGGGTGTAGGCATGAGTTGTGGCAGTTGGTTGAGACTGATACGGTGATACCGGTTATGGATTTAGAATAGGGTCTTTTGAAGATAAATGGAAGGTGAGAATTTTGACTCTAAGGCTTATCGGTGTTGATAGAAAGGATAAATTACAGTTAGGATGGTGTCATCAGGCTTATGTGGATTGGGGTGACGTGGGGTCGCCCGCAGGTGTATGTTAGATATGTGCATTCAGTAATTTGAAGACTTCGAGGCGATTCTTGGCACATTCGAGGACGAATGTTTGTTTAAGAGGGGAAGGATGTAACGACCCGGACGGTCGTTTTGAGAATTTAAGTCTCGTTCGGCTGCGCAAGGACCTGAGCATCTTTGTATTATGTGTATTGACTTGCGTGCGTGGTTGAATTCAGTTATCGGATGATTCAGAGTGATTTGGGACACTTAGTCCTTAAAACGGAAGCAAGTCTTAGGATTTTGACCGTAGTCGGAACTGGGTGAAGACGACTCCGGGATGGAGTTTCGTCAGTTACGTTAGCTCCGTTGGTGATTTTTGGACTTAGGAGCGTGTCCGGACTGTGAATCTGAGGTCTGTAGCTGATTTAGGCATGAAATGGCGAAAATCGAATTTTTTGAGATTTGGACCGGAAGTGGACTTTTTAATATCGGGGTCGGAATGCGATTCCAAGAGTTGGAACAACTCTGTTATGTTATTTGGGACTTGTGTGCAAAATTTGAGGTCATTCGGACGTGGTTTGATAGGTTTCGGCATCGGTTGTAGAAATTTGAAGTTTCAAGTTCTTTAAGTTTGATTTTGGAGGGTGATTCGTGATTTTAGCGTTATTTGATGTGATTTGAGGGCTCAACTAAGTTCGTATGGTGTTTTAGGATTAGTTGGTATGTTTGGTTGAGGTCCCGGGGATCTCGGGTGAGTTTCGGGTGCTTAACGGATCAAAAGTTGGATTTGTGTTGGTGGTGAAGTCTTTAGGCATTTGGTACTTTCGCACCTGCGGTAGAGAGACCGCAGATGAGGGATCGCACGTGCGTAGAGGTAACCGTAGAAGCGGAAAAGTGGAGGAGTACCATGGGTCGCAGGTGCGAGGTGAATTCCGCATCTGCGATGCCCGCAAATGCGATTGAGCGATCATAGGAGCGGTGAAGGACCGCAGAAGCGGACATGGGTCCGCATGTGCACACACGCAAGTGCAACCCTTTGATCGCAGAAGTGGACGCTGAGTTTTGAGTGGAATCCGCACCTGCGATGGGAATTCCGCAGGTGCGGTGACGCATATGCGAAGGCAGGTTCACATATGCGGAATAACCGGGCAGAAAAAGAGAAATTCGAGGGTTTGATTCCCATTTCGATTTTGGGACTTTGAGAGCTCGCAATGGGCGATTATTTTTTTTTGACTTGAGGGATTTTCAGAGAAAAGCTTTTGGGTAACGATTCTTAACTCCTTTATGGTTATATTCCACTAATCTATGGTTGATTTCATCATTTAAATTTCGGATTTGGATTGAAAATTTGGGAAAAATGGGAAGAAGTTCTTCAACTAATATTTTGGGTTTGATTGAGAATTTGACATCGGATTTGGATAATTTTGGTACGAGTGAACTCGTGAGTGAATGAATGTTCATATTTTGTGACTTTTACCCGATTCTGAGGCGTGGGCCCGGGGAAACTTTTTGGGGCGATTTTCTAATTTCTTGTTTTAGCTTTGATTTCATTAATTAGATTAATTTCTTATAGTTGTATTTATGGTATGTAATTGATTTTGGCTAGATTTGGGCCATTCAGAGTCGGATATTCGTGGTTAAGGCATTGTTACCGATTGATTGAGCTTGGTTCGAGGTACGTATCTTGCCTAACTTCGTGTGGGGGAACTACCCCTTAGGATTTGAGTCTTTTATGCTAATTGTAGTCCGTGTACGCGAGGTGACGAGTACGTGCCCGCACTTATTTGTGGCAATTGGCCTTTTAAGGATTCTTAGGTTCTTGTATTCACTGAATATGCAGTTATTTTCGTTATGATTACGTTTCTTAACATTATGGTTTCACTTCTACCTGCTTTAATTGGAATTAATTGCTTCATGATCCACTCTTGTTGTTCATTTGATTCATATGTGCCATAAACTGAAATGATTATCTCTTCTATTGTCATGTTATTTTTTTCCCTAACTGCTTATCTTTATTTGAAGTTATAATTGTCTCTTCTGTAATTGTTCATCCTTAGTTGAGGCAAAGATTACCCCTATACTGCTTATTCTTAATTGAAGTTGTTGTACCTCTTTCTTAATTGGCCAACCTTAAAAGAAGTTAGATATCCTATATGTTAGTGACTTGTCCTTATTTGAAATTATTCGCCTTGCGTAGCTCCCTCGTTGTCGAACCGTACCTTGTAGACCGTGTTACACAATATTTCCTTTCTTGCTGAGCTATTCTATTATGACTAGCATTCTCTATTGTTGCTACTTCTTGTGAATTAGTTCCTCCGTTTCCTTGAGTTCTGGAATTTCTAAGTTGACTTATTTGTCGTACCATTGTACTATTGTCACTGTTGATGTTGTATTTGTTATTGTGATGCACGAGGTTTCTGCCGTACGGTTGTGGTTATTGTGATGCACGAGTTTTTTGTCGTGCAGTTGTTGTTATGGTGTTGCACGAGATTTCTGTTGTGCTATTGTTACTATTGATATTTGCACATGCGGCGTGACAAGGCGGGATATATATATATATATATGGGGG